TCAAATTGTAGCATCATAGCGACGAAGAAAAAAATGATAAAAAAAGAAAAAAAAGAAAAAAAAAGGAAGACACACAAGAAAAAAAAAACAACAACAACAAAAACAAAATAGGAGGTACCAAATTGTAGCATCTTAGTAACAAGGAGAAAATGAAAAAAAAAAAAAAAAAAAAGATAAAAGATAAAAATGGGAGGGATCTGGATGATTAGACCTCTATGGTCAAAGAGAAATGGCCTGAATATAGAGGCAGAGTCTTGTCCTTTGGCATCTTTTCTCCTTTTTAAAAAAAAGTAAAAAATTATATATATATTTCTATTTTTATTTATTTTTATTTATTTATATTTATATTTTTCTTTTTTTTTAAATTGATACCTTCAAAAAATAAATTTGATACAAAATTTTTGAAGGTATCAAAATTAAGAAATTGACTTAATTTTCAATAGAATAATTCTATTATTAAAGATATTGTAAATCTATATCAGCTCCATTAAAAAGTAATTTACTTATTTTAAAATTCTTCCTCCAAATATCCTAATAGGGATCTAATCTTATATCAAAAATCCTATTTTTGCTATTTATCTCTAAATTCTTACATTAACTCTATAGACTCGTGATTTTAAGCACATTATGTACAATATTTGTACTAACAATATAAAAGAATCAATTGTATGACTTACAAACTTCTTCAACATATAATTACAATTTTTTATAGAACTTGCTATTAAAAGTAGGAATAATATCATAGACATATATATATTTACTCTTATAATTACCTACATAATTTGAATAAATAGAAATAGGTAAAAGTAATTTAATTTAATAATATCTTATAGAGGAGCTTCTTAAAAGTTGTATAAACTTGATTTTACCTGAATATGTCTTAATAGATGATTGATAGATTAAATACTTGACCAACAAGTTAGCCATGTATTGCATGTAATGGTAGCTTGAAGTATAAGCTAACCATGTGGTGCAAACATAGAAAACTTGCCTTGCAAGCTAAGACATATATTAGAGATCTTATAGAATGTTGCCATAAAGCTCTTAGCTAGATAGTATATATAGAGGTAAGAATAAAGCATTTTTCACTCTTGTTAATTCCTTTCTTATTTTTATTTTAATTTCAAGGATGTCTAATTTTCTTGCCTTTTGGAAATAGTCATTCTAGTTTTTTTTTTAATATACACACTTTTTTATTTCTATTTTATCATCTTTCTTTGAAAAAAAAAAATTATTATTTTCATTCATCAAGTTCTTATCCTTGAGACTAATATCATTTAATGGATCTTAGACTTTATTAAATTATAAAAAAATTCAACCATTTCTTGTAGAACTTATCTTTTAAAAAGAAAAATAGTCTAATTGATGCTTAAATTATTAAAGTAAATAGAAAAAAATAGATAAATAATAAAAAATATGTCAAAAAGGTAATATATTTATTAAAAAGCTTCAAAAAAAATTCTTAGATTAAGATTAAATATAACATTGTGGCTATTTAATTTTTTATAGAAGTTAATTTCTCATAAGAAGTTGTTTAAGAATCAACTTACAACTTAATACTTGAACTACAAATCTTACAATTCTTAGAAAGCCTCCATAAGATTTTTTTGGCCACTAATATATATAGAAGTAAGATTAAGGCCATTTCTATAGATATAAATGACAAGATGTTTTTATTATAAAATTATTTAAACTAATGTTGAATTATATTTTAATGACTATCTTTTTCTTGTTGTTCTAAGAAAATTTTCATTACGTGCCACAATCATATCACCATCTTTATTCAAGTTTATGATGTAGGAATACTATATATATATATATATATATATATAATCTAAAATATGTTAATAAGTGATTAATAGATTGACAAATTAGCCAATAAGTTGGCCACATATTATATATTTAGCCACTTATATTACAAGTTGGGTATGTGATGTACATATTCAAAACTTATCTTATAAATTAGACATTTATCTTGCAAATTAAACTTATATTATTAAAATCACAAGGTTATATTTAATCTTAATTGCATTTGGTAGTCTAGTAGAGTGACTTCACTTACATAAGATTAGATGTCTTTTCTTTCTTAACCATTATTTATTAATGATTTTTTTTATGAATTTATTTATTTATTTTATATATATTATTTTAAATTAATTATTTAATTATTTAAACTATCCAATAATTAGCTTGTGAAAATTTTTATATGCATCATATTTTTTAATAAAGAAATGATCATACTAAAACATTAATCATAATATCACAATTTCCTATTATTATACCAAAAATATGCAAAAGAACTCTTCTAAACTTGTTGTCTAACAACTATTAGAAATCAACTACCACCTTACAATAATATGGCAAATTATAGCCAATCTATCATGATTGTCAATTCTCAAGCTAAGTCCTATCCTTCTTGATATTAGACCATCTCCACATCCCTGCAACACCATCACTTTGATCTCTTCCACTTGGAACACCTTCACTTTGCCGCCTCCTTTGAAATGGCTGCACAATTTAGATCCATCAACACTAGCCAACTGCAGTACTGTTGTCGTCTTTCTTTCAGTCAACTTGAGCTCTTCTAGAATTTGTTCCTTCTCTTTTTTTTGATAAGCAATCTTCTCTACTGATCTAAATCTTCTCCTATGCCCCATGACCAAAAACCTCTTCATGCCACAACCCTCATCTTCTTAGCTTTGCAATCTCCCACTCACCATATAAAATTAAATCACAATCTGATCTTCTACACTATTGTATGGTACCACCACTATATGGTGAAAAATAAAAATATGAATTTTATCATAGAAGAGCCTAGCAACAAGATGTAGTAAAAAAAATAAGCATAAATGATAGAAAGTTAATAAAAAATTTAGACTTCATGTTACTTTTTGGTAGAAAGAACTTCTATTTACTCTATAGACGCATAAATGAGCCAAATTAAAATAAATGAGATATAAAAATAATATAGGCATGTATAAGAGGGAGTTAAGAGTAGATTTTAGCAAAATTTTCCTCAAGAAGCTAAGAATTGATACCCAGAGAGAACCAATTGTCAACCTGAGTTGAAATAAGACCCTGAGGCATAAAACCATGCATCTACAGTGACTCTAGGGTTCTTTGGTAGATCGAAAAATAGATTTTGGGAACTAAATTTAGGAGAGATTTTTAGGCATTAGTTTTATATCAATTTAGTCAATATTGAGTTTTTGAAGGATTTTCAAACTTAATAATGTTCTAGGTCAATATAGTTTTTGAGAAATAAAAATATGTTTACAAATTTGAGGATTTTTTAATTTCTATGGTGTGTGTACAAGTGAATTTTAAGCAATGTGTTGGTGTTCTAGTTGTTAATGTTTTTTCAAATTTTGAGTTCAATCAAACAATTAAATTGAGATGTGTAAAGGTTTTTGTAGAGAGAGATCTCAAAAATTAGAGTTTGAAAGTTAGTGAATATTTCTAAGATCTTCACTAATTTTTCAATTGAATTGAAGTAAATATTTTTTTTATAAATACTAGACTTTATTTCAAATATCTAAAGTAAAATTTGGAAGAAATTCAATAGTTCAAAAAGAAGATGTTGGTGCTTGAAGTTTAGCATGCAAATTGGAATAGGATGCTACTTAATACCTAATTGAATTATCTTGCATTTCTCTCAATTGGTAAGTACAATTCATTTCATCTTTCTTGTGCTCATTTCTAACTAAGATATTAAGAAGTGTACAAATTTTGAATTAATAACAATAGATTGATCATTAGTTGTTGAGATAACATTTTGATATAAGATTTGTTAAAAGTTTGTTAAGTTCTTCTATTTCAGTAGGATTTGATTTAGGATTTGATCTAGGATTTGATTGAGATTAGAATTACTTGGTATTTGGTTTAAAACTTGAGTAAGAATTGATTAGAATTTGTCTAGGATTTGTCTAAGGTTTAGGATTTGATATAGAATTTGGTTAAGATTTAATTAGGGTTTCATTAGGATTTGACCTAAGATTTGGTTAAGGTCCAATTAGGATTTCAATTAAGCTTATATAAGAATTTTTATTTTTAGTATTTCTCTAGGATTATTGATATTTCTTAAAAGATTTATTTTTATAATTTTTTAAGATTTCTTGTTATCTTTCTTTGGAATTAATTTGGAACTTCTTTGTGTTTCTTTTATGACTTCTTTTAACGTTACTTTGGATTGGTCAAAGTTTAATCACAATTATTAAGGTCTACTTAAAGTTATTTAAGATTCTATTAGACTTGATAGGAACATTTTTACATTTCTACTTATCTTTGACAGCTAGGCAACTAATGCATTCTCAAGCAAGAGCATATATAATGCAACAATACAACCCTGGGCTAAATTGCTATTAAATCCAACAATCCCAACTTTCCAATGAGGACAAACTCGACCTCAAGTAACACACATGTCCCAACCAAGATCACCTCAATTAATTCAAACCCATGCTTGACTTCCTTGTCTATTGCATACCACCCCATGTGCCACCTTGCCTTGCTACCCTCATTAATTCCCCAGCATTCAAATTTTGGTGCTCCAGACCTCATCCGCTTACCACTGTTGACATAACTTGTGTAGTCCAAAATCGTCTAAAAATCGTCTAAACTCGAACCTGCGTAGCCCAAACCGGTCTGGCAAAGTAGGTCGCTAATCAGTGTGTTTTTATTTTAAAAAATAAAAACACACTGGTGGATAGAGGTGGATGTCTTTTTATTTTTTAAAGGTGGATAGAGGAGATGTCTTTGAGAGGCCATCTGCACTGAAGAATGGACGACAAAGAAGAGAACCGGTTATCCCCTCTCCTCCTATAAACAGCGGCAAAGCAGAGAATTTTTCCGTCAAGAAGCCCGCACATTTGAAGGGGGTTCAGAGCAGGTATCTGTCTTATACATCACCGCCAACTGCCTTGTCAAATGAGAACGTGAACAATTGTGCAAAGAGGTTGAGTGGGAGAGACATCAAGCTGCTTTGGTTCAAGAACATAGAGGAATTCGAAGAATGAAAGGATAAAATTGGCAGTAGGGTTAGATGCGTTAGGAGCAAGAACTCCTGCGGCAAACAATCAAATACTACATCACCCAGCCCAAGATTGCTAGAAACCAGCTTGGTTAGGAAGAGACCTAAAAATGCTAGAATGATCTAAGTATGTTGAACTCCGATGTGAATGAGCAAATGACAATTCAGCAGGAGCATCGCGCTTTCCAGGCGCCACTTTGAAACGCGGTGTTGACCAGATTGAGGAACTTATCTGCTGCGATTAAGGCAAAGAAGCAGACACTGCAGGTGATAGCCCAGACTCTGTCGAAAGAAGAGATCGCAGGGTTGAGGCAGTAGTTCAAGTCTCATTAGATGTCGACAACAGCGGAACGGTTACCCCTCTCCACCTGAAAGGAGGTTAGATCAAACAGGGTACCACCAAGTTCACTGAATCGGATAGTGTTGAACTGATGGAATCGACAACCATAGAATAGACTTCAAAGGGTTCATTTTGGCAACAACGCAAGTGAACAAGACAGAAGAAAGATCACCCCTGTTCCACACATTCCATCACTTCGATCGAGACAAACAGTGGGTACAATACCATCTTTGAACTACAACAGCACTCATGGAGAAGGGATATTGGAGATAAACGATGCAATTCCAACAGATCATCGATGGGGTGGATTCAGACAACGATGTCTGTGAAGGGTATAAATGATACAAAAGAAGGTTGAATGAAGGGTTGATCTCAACATCAAAACGGCGAGGCTCATTTAACGAAAGGATCTAGTAGGTCGACTATCGAGGGAAATGGGCCAGGCTGAGGAGGAACTTTTGGGTTACATCGGCGCAAGCTCAGGAGTTCTCCGAGGCGGTAGCAGGATTGTGCGGGTGGTGGTTAAGCAAAACTATAACATTTAAGTAGGTGAATTATTACATAGCCAATAAAATTAGTCAGCGGTGATTCAAGAATTGTTTTTGGAGGACAAGCTCGGCGGGAAGCTGTGAAGCCCCTACAGACGTGTTTCTTGTCTTACTGCTAGTATTCAGGTTGATTCAGTCATTGAAAATTTGTACTTCGGAGTGTTGCTTACGAAGTTTTTTGAGGTTTGTTTTAAATTAGAATTAAAAACTGCTATCTTAGAGGTTTCTATTTGGATGAGGGTTGTTACCTTGTTATTTATGATTTATTTAAAATTAGTGTTTGTGAATTATTAGTAAGGATTAGAATTGAGATTTGGAATAAATTAATTTTAAACTAGCATGATTTGGATTAGATGAATTAGAATGAAAATAAAATTCATTAGATGATGTCATTTCTTTGGTTTTCTAATTGTCAAGTTCTAAATAAATAAACCTATTGGCTATGTAATATTCATATACTCAAATGAAAATTGGGTTTCTGATCTATACATCTTTACACTTTTTAAAAGATCCATTTTTAGGATTGAGAAGGTTATGTTTTTTCTATTGTATTGTTTTATTGGTTCATCAATCTCTTCATAAGTTAAAATAAACCATACATGCATTTTCTATTTGAATGAATTGATTCTTTAATTGTACATAATACAAAAATAATCTTGAATCTAAGTCTACTATGGTACTTATTATTTAGCTAATAGTCTCTATGATTAAATTCCATTGTGCTATCATTGTACACATTAAATCTTCCATTTAAAATTTTTCTATCTATTTTTTTAGTTTATAAAAATATCTATTTAAAATTGATTAAAATCTAAATAATCAAGATTCTAAGTTGAACATGTATTATTCAATAAGATAAAATTAGAATAAAGATTAGAAATAAAATGCCATTTCACAAAAAGACATAAGTTATTCTTATTATTATTATTCTTACTTGTATATTGTAGATGTTATTTTTTTTGTTTTTTTATGTTTTATTTTTTTGGTTTTTGATTTTTAAAACACCTTCAATAATTCAAATTTTATTGAAGATTATAAAATAGATATTATTTTAATGTATACTTCACATTATGCATAATATTGTAGTAGTTGATTCTTTTCTATTAAATCCTCTATTTTTTTTAATAATTTAGATCTAATATGAGAGTCCTTGTACTATTTTTTTAATATTTTATAATTATTATTTGATTTAGTAATTTTTCTTTGTATTATTTAATTTAATAGGTTGATGCTTTTGGTTTAAAAAATATATATTAACATAAATTTTTGTTTTATTAATTTTTAGTATTAAAGTTTGATTTTGAGCTATTTTATGAATTTTAAATAAGATATTTTTTTTCAAAAATTTATATTAAAAAATAATAATAGTTATAAAATAGAATTTTTTTATATTCTTTTTTCAAAAAATTATTTTGATAAAATTTAAAAGAAAAAAGAATGAAAAATTGAAATGGTAAAAAACCATAGAATACAAATAAATAAGAATATATGAAATGATATAAAGCCATAGAATATAGATAGTTGAGGATATATCAAAATTTGATTTTAGATCAATAATCATAAAAAGAATCATGGTCTTAAATTTAATCATTTTTTACAAAAGTATATATGTGGAGAAAAGGCTATGTCTATCTAACATTCATATTAATTATTTTTATTACAACTTCTTTTATTTTATATATCTATTGTCATTTGCTCCTGTTTGTGACAATACTGCACTTGAGATAAAATTTGATGAATTTGCTTCCATGAAAAATGCCTTAAAAAAGTCAACACAATATAAGATTAGTGCAAAAATAAACTCTTTTTTTAAAGCATGAAACTATGCTTTGGCTTCTTTACTCTACTCAAGTTTGTCTTTACAAGTCAAATGTGTAAGGGGAGCTACAACTTGAGAAAAATTCTTCATAATGATTTGATAATAATTGATAAAGTCGAAAAAATATTATTTTGACTATTTGATTATTCATTAGCTTTTTATTGGAAATGATGTATCTTAGAAAATCAACTTGAGTAGTGTGGAGTACTCACTTTTTTAACTTGATATATAATTGTGCATCTCTAAGTTTTTATAGTACACAACAAATATAAACTTCATATTTTTTTGTGTTCTTAGATGTTATTTATATAATAGACAACAAAATTAAGATGTTATTTATATAATAGACAACAAAATTAAGATGTTATTTATATAATAGACAACAAAATTATCAAGAAACTTACAAAATATATCATTCATTAGGTATTGAAAAATAGTTTATACATTCGTGAGTCCAAAAGACATGATATTATATTCAAAACGTCCATACTTAGTTTGAAATACATTATATATATATATATATATATATATATATATATATATATATATATATATATATATATATATATATATATTAGATTATACACTCTTTGTAGATCTAATTTTTTATAGATCTTTTCTTGATTGAGTTGATCAAGAAGCCTTGAAATTAAAGATAGAGGATATCTATTCTCAATGGTGATCTTGAGTTCTTGAGTTCTCAATAGTCCACACACATTCGCAAAGATCTTTCTTTTTCCTTCACAAATAAGATAGGAGCCTTAGCTAGAGATTTAAAAAGGCATATGAAATTCTTAGCCAAATTATCATCAACGTATTCCTTGAGTGCAATTAACTTATTTTGTGATAAGCTCTAGATTGGTCCAAATGGTAGTTGAGCTCTTTCTTAAAAATCAATGGAATAATCATAAAAACGGTGCTCTAAAAGAATATCTATTTTTTCCTTCTCAAAAATATCTTGTAAATCTTGATAGTGGCTAGGAATATTACTTAACATCTTTCTACCATTAAAAATGGGTGTGGCATATATAGCAAAAGATAACCTTTCTTTTGTAACATGCATGAAAGATCTTGCACCTATTAGTAAGAATTAGAATAATTAGACTTCTATATTTCTACTTGATTAATGAGATTTAGGATTAAACTATCAAAAAAAATTAAGATTATAAGAAATCCAATCTATTGGAGGATTATACTTTTCTAATCAAAATAATCTTAAAATAACCAAATTGAATAAAAATCTTATTACATTAAATATTACTATGCTATTATGATCTTTAATTGCTACATCTAAAAGAATAGTCTCATGTGTAATATCTCAAAAGATAGCAAATGACCATCTATGACTTCTATATGTATGGGTTTAGTTATTTTGACTAACAATATCTTCTATTTTTTGACAAAATCTTCGTCTATAAAACAAGCTGAGGCTCCTAAATCTAACAAAGCTAAGTCTTCTTGATTTTTTGATTCTAAATAATCTTCTATTGTAAAATAAGGTGAAGGATCTAAAGAAAAAATATAACCTTTACTAGGAATTATGTAAGATTTTAGTTGCATAGACCCTATTATAGTAAGAAAAACTTATTTTTTAACACATCACCTTCTTTAGCAATTATACTTCTTATTTTTTTATTGTATCATTTTTTTAGAAAATATTGAGCAATGTGTTTATTTACTCTGTAATATAAGCATAAGCTCTTTTGATGTTGTTAAGACTTTTCTTACTTTGTGAGAAATTCAAAATGTACTATACCAATTTACATTGGTTTTGGCCTTGATGAATAAGTTTCTAAAAACTTGAAAATTATCATTATTATTTGACTTAATCATCTCCAATCAAGTCTTTGTTCTTGATGTCTTTCAAATAATTGATTGTTGCATGCAATGGCTTGAATAATTATTTTTTTCAAAGATTTTGCCTTTGGTATTATTAATAATAAATCTTTCACATTATCCTTTAATTTATATGAAAATTGATTGATAAAGACTTTGTCATTATAGTCTACATTGCAAGCGAGGTTTTAGAATTCAGTAGCTTATATGATTGTTGAATAAGATCCTTGCCATAAAGATAAGATCTCAATCTCTACTATTCTTTCTTAATCACTTTTTTTGAATGTGTCCATAAACACTCTTAGGAATGAATTCAAATCATAAAAGAATTGCAAATCTTTTTATATTCAAGATGCAAACAAAGAGAGAGTACAGACTCATAGAAATAGGCCTATAAATCTAACTTGAGTAAATTCATTAAGATATTGGAAGGAATGCAATCTTAGATAGAACTTAACTTATTACAAAAATTCTAAAATTTTTAAACTTATTCCATCAAATTAATTTTTAGAAGCAAAAAAATTTAGATATGGTTGTTAATTCAATCTACTTGCTTCCTTCAATTGTACAACTTCTTGACATAAATCTTGAACTTCTTCTATAAATATAACAATAATACTTCTATGATTTATATTAAAAATATATGAGATTTATATTCTTAGAGTATTGATAAGCTCATGAAGATCTATAATATTTGCAAATCTATTCTCACTTCTAGTAAAAGTAGCATCCATAATCTTTTTTTCTATAAAAAACTCAAATAAATTCAAAAAGTTAAATTAGAAGAGGGTAATCTACAACTTCCAATATCAAATGAAAATTTCTACAAAGAGGGATAATCTACTCTTTTTAAGAAAAAAAATCAATATTAGTAAATAAGATTATTTAAAGATGGGTAGTCTACAACCTTCAAATATAATAAGAAAATTGAAGTAATTCTTTCTTATCTTAAACAAGATAAAAACAGTAAGTTAGCACTCTTGTTAAATTTTCAACCACATGAATCTTAAAGAAAGAAATACTTAATATATTCTTTTGTTACTCAAAAGAACTATAAAATCACTAAAAAATGATATAATATTAAATTAAAATGGCTATTGCTAAAAAAAAAGAAGACTAAAAAGTCTTGAAACAAGACTAAAGACTAAAAAAGTATTGACAAGAGTGAAAAAGGGATTACTTTTACCTCCATATATATTCTTAATAAGGAACTATAAGGCAATATCATATGGAACCTCTAACAAATATAGACTTTGCAAGACATATATCATAACTTACAAGGTAATTTTTTTAAATGGTTGCCATATAATTAACTTAATCTATAAGCTACTAATATATAGTTAATTAATTGACCAAGTTTCTAACCTACAATTTAACTACATATACATGTAAAATAAATAAAGTTTTTAAAAATACTTCCTAAAAATTGTCTATGAAGCTTTTAGAAAGTATTTCTAAAACATATTAAGAAATAAATTTATTTTTACCTACGTCTACTTAATCACACATCAATGTGATTAATCACATTGATATGTGATCTC